AGGCTGATGAGCTCGAGGGTTAGAGAGATCCTTAGGATTCTAGAGTCACCCATTCACCTACATGAGGTTTGCTATGGTTAGACAGAGCCTCATAGATGCCCTCACGGCGATCTTGTGCCTCCCACAGATCTGGTCCGACCTTGCTTCACAGAGCCTTTTGGCGAGGGGTCGAGTAGGACACCTAGAGATCTTACTTCTACAGCTAGACTGCTTGATGCTATCATGAGGAGGACCCTACTCCCGAGGATGGGATATCATGAGGGATTGACTCGCATTCAGTTGTGGCTATTGAACTCTCTGATACAGCAGACAGTGTTTGATATATGGGATGTCATTCTTTCTGAGATGGAGGATACACTTGTAGAGGGATTCAGAGGTCACAGACAGCTACCGTATGCTCACTGGATCACATTCTTGATTCGCAAGGCAGTTACAGTGAAGTCCCTAGAGACGATGGCAGAGTATACTAGTGCTACTACTAAGTTCCCTTCATATAACATGACCTAGATGCTTTGTCACAGCAGAGCGAGAACACCTAGCCAGCCGCGCCGTTGCCTAGAGGTGCCAGAGACTGCAGCCCAGCAGGATGAGATCATCGGGGGCATTGCAGCGACAGAGGAGAAGTAGCTAGATGCTCAGCAGGAGGGTATGGTCGAGAGCGACCCTAGTGATAGTTCAGATGATGATTACCAGAATATCCCTTAGATGCCTCCTCGACGACATGACAGTGAGGCCGATGGCTCCAGCTCAGCTCCACCACAGCCACCTCCGACAGACCCCGCTCTTCTTGCTATTCTTGAGCGGATGAGGCAGGATCAGGCTCGCTAGGCCTTGGAGACCGCAGCTGCACTAGCACTGGTTCAGGCCAAATAGGATGAGTTCTAGAGACAACAACAGGCCATACAGCAGCAGCAGGCCATGCAGCAGCAACAGCTCCTGATCCAGCATCAGTTACTTGGTTTTATGCAGCATGTCGTTACTGCTATTGGGTCTGCACCGCCATAGTTTACACCTTAGCTCGGCCAGCCTGTCACCACTACAGTGACTCCAGCTTTATAGCCCAGTGGGCTTTAGAGTCAGGGACAACCAGCTACACAGTTTGCTTCACCGACAGAGCAGGTGTCCAATGGTTTGCTTCTCTAGTACCAGCCCAGGGTCCTTCCTTCACACCTATTGTCATGGGTTTCACTCTGGCTCAGAGCTCCTTAGTGCTTGTGACAGACACCCTAGTTTCCAGGAGACTTGGTGCTACATTCAGTGAGTTGATAGGGCAGCCTACACCGCTAGAGCTACGTGTCCCTGCTCCCACTTCAGTCGCTCCAGTTACTGGGACTATAGAGATGCTCCCTTCATCTGTTGCATCAATAGAGCCAGCTGCTACAGTGATACCTGTAGAGTCACAGGCCACACCAGTCCCACAGCAGACCCAGACCGCTTCAGCTTCACTTCCAGCGATAGAGGGTCAGACAACTCAGAGCTCCGGATCAGAGGATGATGCTACATAGTTTTAGATCGCTCATCGCACCTCAGCGCCTAACTCATCTGCTCCTGCCTCGCCGAGAGACCCTTAGGTTTTGGTGCTTGATGCCAAAGGGGGAGAGGGATCGAGTATGTTGATCTAGGGGGAGCACTATATCTAGGGGGACCTTATGATTTATTACTTTTGGATTTTTATGTGTGATACATTATTATGCATTCATGTTTACTTTCATGCATTGAACTACATATGTGTGATTGTGATATTATTGTGATAAACTACATATGTGTGATATGTGATATTTATGTGATATGTGACATGTGTGCTCTCTACTTTGATTTATTTATATGTCATGTCACTTGGTTATGCTCATTTGCTTTGCTTCCGCGTTTTACTCTGATTCAAATGAGCTTTATTTCTTATACTCATGCTTATATCATATCTATTGAGTACATCATGTTGGCTTGGGTCATTTAAGCATGCCTAACTCTTTTGTTCTTATTATCAAAAGCTTATATGAACCAAGCATGTTGAAAACCTCATCTCTTTTATATACTGGAGGTTGTAAGCATCTAGGCCCCTAGTTGGGTTTCGGTGATTAATGACAATACAAGATTACTATAACTAACGTGTGTTTTACAGAGGCAATTAAGTTAGGTCATGGTAATGACAATTGATTGGAAAATCATGGTTGTCATGCCCCTACGATGGAAATCATTTTGGTTTTCAAAGGATGGACGACAAGGTTAATGATGGACTAGTTCTAAATGTCATTTGGTATTGAAGAAACACTTAGAGTAGTTTAGAACTTTGTTTTTCCTTTGGCCGTACTATTAAGGGGGTATGGACTAGTAGCTTGACCTAGGTGAGTCTAGTGGGTTAGTTGTGGTGCACACTTGTCAAATCTAGCACTAGGTAGCTCCAGAGTAGCCCTAAGATCAATTGGAGCAAACTTCATTCACATATGATTTCGAGTTAGAAGTGAATGGTCAAATGTTGACCGGACGTTGATCCGGTTGTGACCGGACGCTGGCAGCAGAGTCCGGTCAGTTCATTTGATCAAGCAGAAGCCGTTTGGTTGTCACCAGACGCTGAGTGAAAAGTGACCGGACGCTGGGTGGCAGAGTTCGATCAATTCCAGAGAGGTTCGAGAGGGAATTTCATTATCGGACGCGTCCGATCAGTGCTGACCGGACGCTGGTCAGGTTCCGGTTACTGACCGAGACGTTGAACAGCAAAGTGACCGGACTCTGGGTTCCAGCGTCCGGTCAACATCAGTAAGGTTCTAGAGAGCAGTTTTTGTGACCGGACGCGTCCGGTCAGTGATAACGTAACGCAGGTCAGAGTCCGGCCACAACTTAACGACTCTATGGCGAGGATAACTGATCAAGCATCTAGTCACCTTGACCGGAGCGTCCAGTCACCCCGCAGAGTACTGACGCAACCTCCTAATGGTTCGTTTTGAATGAGAGTGTATAAATACTTCCTCTATTCATTCAAGGGAGGTCTCTTGCCCATTTCAACAGCTGAGAAACATCCTTGAGAGTGCTTAGGAGAGCAAGAGCCTAGTAAGGTGATTGAGATTTGAGAATACAAAATTAAGGCCTCATTAGTGCAAGGAGAGTAGCAAGTGTACATCCACCCTTCTCATTAGGCTTGTTGTGATCAAGTGAAAGTTCGTGCTTGTTACTCTTGGTGATCGCCATCACCTAGACGACTTGGTGGTGATCGGGAGTTTGGTGATCATCCGGCGGAGCTTATGGATGACCCAACTCAAGTTATGAGTGGTTGTGGGTGATTCACCGCGATGGAGTGTTGAAGAATCAGCCCGTAGAGAGCACTTGATCCTTGCGCGGATCAAGTGGGAGCTACACCCTTGCGCAGGTGCTCCAACGAAGACTAGTGAGGAATGACGACTCTCTGATACCTCGGCAAAATATCGTCGCGTTTCTTCTCCTCTCTTTACTTTAAGCATTTATATTTGAGCAATTCAATTCTTGTCTTTACATTCTTAGAATTGCCATGTTAGAGTAGGATTGAAACATAGGATGTAAAACTTTTGTACGGTAGATCAATAGGAACACATTCTAGGCACAAGGGGTGAAGTGAGCTAAGCGTATGGTTTAATTATTGTAAAGAATTTTAGAATTAGCTCAATTCACCCCCTCTTGGGCATCTTGATCCTTTCAACCAGATCAGAGGGTTGTTGTTGGTGAACATTTGTCTACCAAGGAGAATAAAGGTAAGCGTGTCTGGTTGTGTAATGCAAGTGCTGATACTCTGCATGATTGGGTGTTCAAGTTCTTATGTGAGAAGGAAGGCATTAACCTATGAAGCTTAGCTTCTGAGGGTGTCTGTTCATATTTTGTGGCGTGTCCAGGAACTTGGTTGTGTGATTATTTTGGTTGTGGTGATGACTGATGGCTTAGGATGTAATATAGTTGGATGTGTGCTCATTTTAGCTGATGCATGCATGGCTGGCTGTTGCTTTTGTAATTAATCTAAACCTCCTAGAATGTATTTATGAAGATGGTATTTCGTGCTTGTAATATTATTGAAACATATGCTGGTTGTTAATTTTTATTATTGCTGGAATATATATTGTTGTATGAGAAATGTGTCTTACCACCATAGCATTGAGGTATATGTGGCTGCAAACTAAACATATGCCACAACATTTTGCCATGTTTTTGGCAGGAATCCAAACAACAGCCACACTTATTTTGTCAACCTTAATCATAAACCCAACAACTTGTTTTTACTACAGATTATGGAAAGCCACACATGTGGCGGGTGTTTAATATTAGTAAGGCAAATTGTGGCCGGGAACCAGACATCCCCGACGTAACTCGCGAGTCCACGGCCGCATTCATGGCTGGCTTTCCACAGTTGCCATAAGCAGTGTGTTTAGTCACTCGTAACAGGATGGCAAGAAATTAGAGGGGAAAATGTACTAATGCAAAGGTCATGTCGCCAACTAACGCCGTGTTAATGTTAAGGAGAGGGAGAAAGAGAGAACCGGAGAAGTTGATCTCTTTCCTCTTTCTCTCTCCATTGCCGTTGCGAGCAAGGAAAGCTCTCTCTCTCTCGCTCATCTCTCGTCCAGCACGGCGCACTATTTTAGGCCGCCACGGCGCCCACCATCTCTCTCAGAAACGGGAGGGAGTCGAGGTATCTTAAGCTCCAATTCATTGGCGCGCGCGAGCCCGGCCGGGCGCACTGCACCTTGCTTAGAACCCACTTATCGCTGCCTCACCTTGTTCGTCTCTCACCTCACCTCACAGCAGAGAGAGTTGTGTGTCTGTGTCTGTGTCTGTGTGCAGGGCTGCGGGCAACTAGTTCTTGGTACGCACGCTTCCCCATATATACCCCCCGCCCATACATAGAGGCATAGAGCTAGCCACAAGCAGCCACCGATCGCCATTGCAAGTGGCAGCGGTCGATCACCGACGTTGCCCTTGCCCCATCTCTTAATTTGTCGCCGTCGTCGTCGAAGCAGAGACAGAGAGCGCGGGAGGGGAGAATGGGACGGCTCTCCTGCGGCGGCGGCGGCGTGCAGCCCAAGCTCCGCAAGGGGCTCTGGTCGCCCGAGGAAGACGAGAAGCTGTACAATCACATCATCCGACACGGCGTCGGCTGCTGGAGCTGTGTCCCCAAGCTCGCAGGCAAGCAACACGAGCCTTACACACTCTCACTGTTGTATCCATCAGTCTGTCGTCGTCGTCTTCCTTGTACACTGCCATCCATGGCGCGCCTTGCCTGAATTGCCTTCTCGCTCGTTGTGGTGCCGTGCGTGCAGGCCTGCAGCGCTGCGGCAAGAGCTGCCGCCTGCGGTGGATGAACTACCTCCGCCCCGACCTCAAGCGCGGCAGCTTCTCGCAGCAGGAGGAGGACCTCATCGTCGCGCTCCATGAGATCCTGGGCAACAGGTCGGTAGCAGCTAGCCGTCGCAATGCATTCATCCATTCCAGCCTCTCCCGCGTGCCCGCAATGTGGCGGAGGGAGATAGCTAGCATTATCAAATTGGCAACTATGTTCATGGTCATGGCCAGGCTGATGGACTAAGCGAATTGTTCATGCAGGTGGTCGCAGATCGCGTCGCACTTGCCGGGGCGGACAGACAACGAGATCAAGAACTTCTGGAACAGCTGCCTCAAGAAGAAGCTCCGGCAGCGCGGCATCGACCCGGCCACGCATAAGCCCATCGCCGCCGGCGCCGCCGCGGAGGCGGGCGCGGCGTTGCCGGACGCTCGGGACCACGACCGCAAGCCCGGAGGAGCCGCAGCCGCCGCCGCCGACGCGGACGGCCTCGCCCAGAGCAAGCAGCAGCAGCCGGCGGCGGCCGTGTTCGACCCGTTCCCGGTGACCGACTTCGGCTTCGACCTGGGCGTGGCGGCATTTTACGCCGGTCCCTACGACGCCGACGGCAAGGCGTCGTCGGACGCCGGGTTCGTGGCCGACTACAGCAGCGTGCTGGACGTGTCGGAGAACCTGGGCTACGGGGAGAGCTTCAGCAACATCAGCAACTGGAACTGCGGCGCGGAGATGAGCAATGCCGTGCTCGACAGCGAGGTGCTGCACTGGGCCTCCGGCGGCGCCGCGGCCAAGCCGGAGCCCTACACGGAGCTGGAGCAGCAGCAGCACAGCGGAGGCTACGGCGGCGGGGGCCAGGCGGTGGACGACGACGCGCTGGAGCACAAGTTCTTGCTGCCCTGCGGCCAGGAGCAGAGCCTGGCGCATTTCGACTTCAACTTGGAATACTTCTGAATTCTGATCCTTTTTTTTCTTTTTCTTTTTGGCCCTTCATTCATCTTTGCCTGCCTTTCCTCCCTGAATTATCCATCCATTCCCCTACGTTTTTATAGACAAGAGGAAGAAGAAGAAGACGCATTTGGACGATTAGGTATTGTGAGCCTGTTCGCTGGTTCATTTATGGATTGATAAGTTTGGTGCTGGTTTGTTGTGAGAGAAAAATATTGTTGGCTGGCTAATAAGCTCTTGAAACTAACCAGCGAACAGGCTGATTATTAGATACTGAATATTAACAGTCTTCACTTGACATTATCCCTTGCTAATATATCCCTTCCTCGGAAAAATATTGGAAATGGTGCATGTTTCACGTTTGGATGCCATTATAGTATAGATATCTGCTAATATTTCAATAAAATTATATCTCTGTTGATATACTAAAGAGTCAAGCCTGTGTGATATGAGACTCGTAAATATTTGGATGCAGATAGTACATGTAGTATTTTGAAGTGAAAACATGACTAAGACGGTGTTACGTTCCTCCTCTTAAACTTTAGTCGTTGTTCCATCGGATGTTTGACACATGCATGGAGTATTAAATATAGACTAATTACGAAATCAATTGCACAGTTTGCGATTAATTTGCGAGACGAATCTTTTAAGCCTAATTAGTCCATGATTTGATAATGTGGTGCTACAGTAAACATATGATAATAGATTAGTTAGGCTTAATAAGTTCGTCTCGTGGATTATTGACGGATTCTGTAATTTATTTTTTTATTAGTATTTGAACACCGCATTCGACATCCTCACGTGACACCTTCTAAATTTTAGTCACTAGATCCAAATACCCCTAACTCACTGAGCTATCATAATGGAGGTCCAAGAGTCCTAGAATTTGATAGAGATCGAACCAGTATATATGTGGTTGGTGTCTTTTAATTATCTTTATCCTGAACCAAAGCTTCCAGTTAGTAAATAATTCGTCTCCTGTTTAGTTCCATACATATCCAAATTTTGGCTAATATGAACATTAGTCATATTGTTATTCATGGATTAATGGCACGTTTGCAATTTGGCAAGGAATGTTAAGAATTCAAATTTGCTTAGCCTGACTTCATACAAATGGGAAAAGAAAACCAAACTGCAGTTGATATATGACATGCCTGCCCCTATTCATCTAACATTGGTTCCACACTTTTTGAGCCATGCTACACTCTGCTCATGTACTATTTAATTCGTTGTGATGAAATTCCACCATGATTTGTATTCTGACACTATTCATAAGTAGGCTTCCGAAGTATGCTCCTTTTCCTATCTGAGTTTACAGGAGCTTTAGATATTCCTATTTGCAACATGTTTAGCTTAAAATTGTCTCCTATTTATGAAAATTTGAGTCTCATAACTTACATGGATCTAGGAAGGCCTTGGAGGGGAAAGTATTTAAGGTGTACTCTTAGACGGACAAGATAAAAAAAACTTGAAAAACTGTCCTTTTATCACATTGCACATATAGCATCAAAACTGTGTCACTATAAGGTGCTCTCTCATTTGTCATTTATATTCATTAGATTGGGAACTAAAAGATTGATGTAATTACTAGATTTAACAAAGTTCTTTCTGTATGTCATATTTTTGTAAATTTACATTATCATGTCTCACAGTCATCCCACTAGAACTTGATCCACGAGAATCAATTTATTGTTTCTTTCTAATACAGTGCTTCACATCAAAATTCAAGGAAGAAGTAAAACAAGCAAGAGGTGCTCAAGGTAAATATCTGGTGCATATGGTAAACAAGTCGTCTGCTTTTGTTGTCCTGTCAGAAATAGCACTGCATCTAGAGGCTAGAGTGAGAATTATGATGTTCTCACATAAGCCTTCTTGTTTACGTTGTTCATTTCCCAGCTAACTGAATGTACCCTCCTTGTAAATTCAAATAAAACAGGGAGGAAAAGTACACGGTGTTTTCCTTTAGATACTGCTCCTGATGCAGCTAAGTAGTGTATGTGACTATCAATACCAAATGAGGCTATTCTTAAGGCCTCTGTATGTATTGCAAGTCAATATTTCTGCTCATATTCCACAAGAAAAGAGATGTTCCCGTAGAGTACACCGATACATTCCTTGGCTTTGAACCAGAGGACACCAACTTTGCACTTGAATTGGTATCGTTATGTTCACTGACCATGTCTCAGTATGCTACTATTATTTGTGTTGCACAATATGTATATCTACTCGATAAGAAAGTTAACGGTGGATATGTTTCTCTCTTCAAGAAAGCATTTTCATTTTCTGTACCTTCTAATGTGCTAACAAGTTCACTCTTGTTCATCAGATAAACTGGCCTGCTCCACGAAGGGTGCGGCAAAGCCACAAGCGGAACCGGATCAATGTTATGGGCGGCGGGCTCCATCTTGGAGACTTGGGGCGTGTTTGATACGTGGCCTAAAGCCAGCCCAGCTCGCAGGCCAGGCCTAGCCAGCCACAGCCGGTCCGAACTGGTGCAAGGCGCCGTGTTTGGTTGCCTGTACCAAACGGACCAGACCCATGGGAGATTGTATTTGATAGCACACAATGCAGCTCGGCCCATGGCCAACTAACTCCAACTGCCACTTTAGGATCCTGTTAGATTCTCGGATAGGCCTAGAACCGGAACCAGAGAAGGAGAACACAGGCAAAGAACACAGATTGCATTCAAGCCAACAACAGCCATCAGACTTTGCAAAAAATTATCCAAACAAATCAGCTGTCACAAAATAATTACTGCTGTACATAATAACAGGCCTCAGACAGCATAAGTCATTAATAATAGAATCATAGCTGGCTGTAATTAAGAAGATAGCACTGAAGGAAGGAAGATACATTTCAGTAAACAGAAATGGATGAAACAAAATAGTGACAGACTGAGCCAGCTCATCCATAATAAGATTGTTGTCATCACAGGCCTAAGTACTGCATTTGCATTGTCCAGTCATGGTAACCCTCATCCATAGTCCAAACACCATGATCATTAGTGTTATGATTAACACATTCTTCCAAGAACCAGCCTTACCATGATCAGGAGGTATGGATTGACAACACTCATCTGGGAGCACCATAAGAGGGGGGTGGAGAAGTTGATGCTCCCAAAGATGCATTGAAATCTCTCACTGCCTACTCATAATTCTTGTACTTCAAAAAACTAGCATTAGAGAAGCCTAGAACTTGCTTACTACACTCATGCCAGGTATGATAAATCCCAAGTTGCTTCCTGAAAGTGCATTTGCCCCTATGTGGGTTTTGGTGTATTGATGACATCTAAATTAAGGACTAATGAGACCTTAATGAGATATATTGCAGCTTTAGTCCCATGAAAGTTTCAAAGAGTTGATCTAAGATGAAATGGTATCCCTCAATTTCTTGAAGTTGAAAAGGCGAATGAACTCAAAGTGGTCTCCAAAGTTTAGATTTCTTTGTTTTGGGTTTAGGTTCGCCGTACTATTAAGAGGGATACAAATTTAGGTGATCTGAGGAAGATAGAGTGCTCAAGCATAAAAATAAAATCAAAAGAGAGACACTCAAACACCTCAGAAACACTTAGATATAGCTTTTGGAGTTTTGTCCATCAGAAGTGCCGACGCTAGCCGGAAGTCCCGGCTCCTGTCGGAACTCTCGGGCCCAGGGGACTTAGGCGCCCTGCTCGGCAAACCGGAGGTGCCGACGCCAGTCGAAAGTGCCGGCTGCCGGAAGTGCCGCCGATCGTCAGCAGTTCTGGCTCTAGCTGAGTCAACCAAGTGGACTGCGCGTTTGAACAGTGCTTTCTTAGCGCCGGAAGTTCCGGCGTTTTTACCTATGAGTATAAATAGCTCTCTCCTCTCTTCTAACCGTTACCCACTCATTAATTACGACCTAACTCTGTCCAAAACTCCTCTCAAGCATTCAAGGCTCTCCTCTCCTCTCCCCTTTGCTCCTAAATTCGATTCCCCCAAGGATTTGAGTGATTGGAGAGTGGATGGAGTGAGAGAATCACTTTGGCAAGGTTGAACACTTGATTTCTTCATCAAGCCGGTTGGATTTGCATCTATTACTCTTGGAGCTTTGCTCCTAGCTAGCTAGGCATCGCCCAAGAGCTTCTATCTTATGGTAGAGCCTTATGAAGTTTATATTACCCTCGATTTCTTAGTGGAAAACTCAAGTGACCTTTGTGGTTTCCTTGAGAGAGGCAAGGAGGTGGAAGAGACTCCGACCTTTGTGGTCACCTCAACAACGAGGACGTAGGAGCTCCTTTGTGGGGTTGTCGAACCTCGGGATAAATCCTTGTGTCCCGCGTGCTTATTGTTGTTGTGATTTGTGCTATCATACTAGTTCTTGTTGTCTCTCTTCCTCACCAAAGCTTCTTCTAGGGTTTGGACTCGATCTACGGATTGGAAGCATTTTGGTGTCAAGGGAGTGACCCTACGTGTCTACCTAACCACTTGGAAGTGGGTTTGTAAGAAATCTCGCACTCAAAAGTTCATTTTAGCACTTGTAGCAAATTTCCCATAGGAGCCAGAACTGCTGACTGTTTGCATCGGAACTTCCGATCGCCAAAAGTTCCGGCCCAAATTGTTAGAAGTTCCGACAGTTGCTGACTATTGACTTTGAGTTTGTGTAGAAATTTTTAGATACGCCTATTCACCCCCCTCTAGGCATTGTTTAGATCATTTCAATTGATATCAGAGCAAGGTCTTCTTTTAGCGCTTCACCGTGTAAGAAGAATCAATATTGGACACCGAAAAGATGAAAGCCGATGCCACTGAGATTGGCAAGCAAATTGCAAAAGAGTTTATGGCTGAGCAAGAAAGCTATTCGAAGATGAAATGAAGAAGATGCAAGATGAGATGAGCAAGGTGAAGAAAGAGTTGAGCAAGAAGGTTGAAGATGCTATAAATGGCAAGAATGAAGCAACCAAAGACAATGCAAGTGATGTTGGAGCAGGCGAGCATGTTCATGGAAAAGGAATGTATTCAAACATGGGATTCGATTATGGAAAACTC